GTGAAGAAGAGGTAAGATAGGCAGAAACAAACACACAAAGACAAGCAGCATTGAAAATCTGTCAAAGTGAGGCCGACAGGTGAGGTTGTTTTACTGTACGTTTCTCAAAAGGTTTTCACTAAACCTGCATTTCTTCTTATTTGAAGTGTGTTGTGAGGAGTTGGTAGAAACATCAGGGAGCAAATTCCAAATTTGAGCAGAATACACTCATTACTGTCACATCAATCTGTTCATTTTTTCTTCCTCTTCTTCAAAATAAAATTGAAAAAAGAAAAACGATTTTTTTTGTCTTTAAAACCTAAATGTGCAAATATAAAATGGTACAAAAATAAAAATCCAATTAGATTTTTACTTCAGCTATAAATCCCCCACCCCAAAAAAAATTTAATGTGTGGTGATACCAGAAATGATCCAAACAAGAAGAGTTTAAAATGGCTGGAATACTGCTTAAATACGGAAACTATTAATAAAGAAAGATGTAATGACTACACTCGCCCCCTCTTCTGCATAATTTGGAATATTAAAGTGATTTATTTTCACAGTAAGATCATCAGCTCTCAATCAGACGCGTCGACTCGCTTTAAATAATACAAACATATTGATGGTGAGAAGTGAAAACATAATACATCGGGTGTTCAGCCCATGATTTCTGGTTCTACCAGAAGGTCCCAAATATGACAAACAAACCATAAATCTTGTCATTGCTTTAACCATAAAAAATTGTAAAATTTCTTATTTTTGCAAGTGATGTTTTCTCTAATTTAGTCTTAAAACCGAAAAAAAAAATCCACCAGATTATTTGTTCATTCTTTAGTTTTATTTTACAATAAAACCAAAGAACGAACCATGGATTCGCCTCCAGTTTCTCCCTCTCTTTGGGCTCTTACCTCTTCGTATTGCGTCGTTGCTGAAGCTGCTATCGTCTGATTCGGCCTGTGATCCGAACGAGTACGGCAGTGGAGTTTGATCGTGGTGCTGATTGCCTCCAAACTCGGCTGGGTGTTCAGGATGAGCCGTGTTGCTGTAGAAGCCAGGAGGGGAGACCACAACAATATTGCCCTTCCCCACCTGCAAAAGACATCATCCGACACAAAAAGCAGAAGCCAAACTCCAGTTTTTGAACAAAATAATGAGGAATTGCTCTTTTATTAGTGAATAAAAAGATCATCCTTGCATCTCTTTATTTGTGCAAATGGTGTTTTATGATGATCTCATGATGGTGTTTACAACGATTTTTTGATGATCCAAAGCTGCTTGTGTCATTAAAACTTGTTTGAAATGAAACGAAAAGAATTCAATCTTATTGCTTCATTTCATTATTTCTTCAGGGGAATATGATCAAGTAATGCTTCCAACCTGATATAATGTTCCTGTGTAGGAATTTTCTTCACAGTGTGGGCTGTACGGTGGAGGGGAAGGTCCACTTCCCCCGTTAGCGCTGCTGCTCGATTGATCCATGTCACCAAACCTCGTCGTCGACTTGGGAGTAAAAATGACAAGTGGAGAAAGCAAACGTGTGTAAGTTGAGGTATATCCTGGACAGCATCTGCACTTTCATCCAGCGACGCTAAACTGGCAAATGGAGCCGTGTCAGTGGGGAACAAATAAATGGGTAATTATAAAATGATGCATCACACAAACACACAGCCATCCATGACTAACATCTATAATTATGGCCTTAAACCTCAACTTAATAGAGCTGTATGTGCATTTAACAGCCTGATAGATTGTGGTTAATAGGTCTCAGAGGAAATTCAGCTGACGTCATGAAGGACGGGCAGATGGGGTAAAAAAACATACATGCGTCTATAAGGGTTCCAGTGAAGAAATAAAACAAATTCTCTTTAAGATTTGTGGGTTTTAATTAATCATTGGAGGCATAAAGTCGTAATTAGCTCTTCAATTGATCAATGTGCGATGTTTAGTGGCGCTGACTGCGGAACACAGGAGATACATTCAAAAAAACATCAGCACTTAAAAATAAATCCATCTATACTCTCATGAACGACGGTATTCGAGTCCTAAGAACACTAATTGGTACTTTTGATGTTTTCATGACAGTAAATGATCCCACGGAGGATAAAATGGCATTTTGGTTTTAACTCTAGCTTCTAAAACCTAAACGAAGCGACAGCACACACAATAAAACATTAAGTGGACTTTGTTCACAGCTCAAAAGTACAAATATTATTTCCACAGAAGTGCCTTATTTTTAGTGTTCTCAAGTATTCTTTTTATTTAGCAGAAACCTGTCATTTTAAGGTGTCTTACCTCTTGCGGGGACAGTCAGGAATTTGCTCCGCTTCCTGTTGTGTTGGCTCCTCTTCGGGGCAAAGTTCACCTGCTATCACCGGGTTCCCACAGAAACTGAACTCTAGCTCCCAATGAAACAGATGTAGACTTTATTAGGCTCAGTGGGGTATCCCGATGAAAACATCAGTAAACCAACCATCCAAATGCTGTAACATTGGAGCAAGATGTGGCTTTGCAATTTTCTCTCACTATCACCCGCTCGCTACGACTTCTGGAATAATTTATTAACCAAGTCTGTCTTATTACAATAAAAATTGTCTTGCTGTTTAATACAAGTTTGAAACTCCACGCTTTACTGTACAAAAAAAGGGGTGAGGAAATCTGTGAAATCCTTTGAGTCACCTGCCCACCCCTGATTCACCTTGTTAAACATTGATAGTACAGACACCACCCACTGATAAAGAGTACCCAGCCGATACAAAGGGTTTATAGATACTGGGTCACACGGAGAGGGAAGAGAAACTAAAGACATACAGTACACCAAAAAAGACATGAAATTATGTAGGTCAATACAGTCTTAGTGCTTCTTTGCTGAGAATTCAGACATGAATCAAAACATCATGGTGGAACAGTGGATAAAGCTACCACCTGTCAGCAAAGTTAGAGTGTGGACGTTCTTCCTGTGCACACGTGGGTTTTCTCCTGGTCCCCTGATTTCCTCCCACACACCAAAAAAAAAAAAAAAAAAAAAACCCACATGTCAGGTGTGAATGAGAATGTGGAATAGTTGTGTCTTGTTTGTCTCTATGGGTCCTTGTGGTGGACAGGTCCAGGATGTACCTCGCCTTTCTTACCATGACGTAATGAAGATAAACACCTGTTTCTCACAACCTATTTTCTACCGTTGATTACACACAGTTAAAGTGAGGTAAATTAACACATGTACATAATAAAATACAAAATGACCCGCCCGATGCATGTTCAGTAACCCAGGTAGAAAAACCCAACAAGGTTGAGTCAGCTCCTCTGTATGAGTTCATTTTTGTTGAAGTACAAAGCTGTTATTGTGAGTATGACTCAGTAATCTGTGAACAACATGCGGCCATCAGATAGATCAGTCATTAGGCTGATGGTCCTCTTTTGCATGTGAACTACCAGTTTAGGGTTTCACTGGTTGATCCACTATGACTGAGTTTACCTGCAACTCCTCAGACTGAAGAAGTGTTTTGGATATAAAACCGAATGATTAAAGAAAGAAGAATCTGTCCAGAGAATCTGACTCAACCTTGTTAGATATTCTGACATTCCAGGTAAAGATGTTCAACAAATCTGATACAGAGACATAAACAAAATAAAATCAAATCATATTTGATTCTTAAAAAAACAAAACAAAAAAACTGATTTTAGACTTTACTGGAGCCAAAACACAGTTTCTATATTACAGAGAGGGGATTTATTTTTGGATAATTTGAGAGAAGCTGCTTTATTTATACATCCATCAAACACTAGGGGGCACTGGTCTTCTGTGCTTCCTCCACTAATTGCAGTCATTTGATTGTAACTCTGGCCCCTCTCATGCTGTCACCTCCCCACCCAACCAGCAGCTTCAAATCCCCCAGAGAGCTCTCTCTAAAGCTGGCTGCCTCTTCATCTTATCTGCCGGATCAAATCCTTCATTTCTCTCACCAACATGTGATATTTGTGTTGCTTTCAAAGTGTGGTGGAATACAAGAAAAACAACCACCGCAGCACCGTTTCCTCTATTTAGACAGCAATAAAAAAATAAAAATAAAAAAAAAACTAAAGCAAGAAACAAAATGAGGACTTAGCAGCGTCATATTTGAAGGCGCAGACAGCATTTGTGTTACAAACACAGACCCTGTTTCGCTCTGTTCTCTGCTGATTGGTGTGTCAGTCAACACAGGCTGGATTTACCTCGGCTGCTCCAATCTGATGGGCCTGCTCCCACCTAGGCATCAAATCTCGGCTGGATTTGAATGGGCGGCACAACAAACACGGTCACATCTGAGCGGGCAGCTGTGTTGACATACCAATCAGAGTCAGGCCAAATTAAAAACAGATCCGATTACCGCCACGCCGTCCAAACCAGAGCCACGCACGGGGGCTCATGATGTGTGAAGAGCGACCGGAGAGATGCTATCTATCTATCTATCTGGAAGATAAAAGGCAGAGAAGGGAACAGAGACGCAGTCCTGTGTCTCCGGCATTAAGTGACAGCCATGTTTTGTCGGCCATGATGCTCTTCGGGGCTTTTGGGACGTCGGACCACAGAGGGGAGTGTTCTGGTGTCACCGGAGAAGAAGAGATGTAGCCATCCTGAGAGTTCCTATTTCTGCTTCCACATGTGGCGGTGAATTACTGCTCCTCGGGCCGGCTGGGCCACAGAAGGATTTATTTGAAGAATTGAAACAGTAGTTTGTGTGGCCTCAGAGAGCTCCAGCGCCGGTCCGGTCCGAGGGATCTGAGCTACAAGACACTCCCTCATTTCTAATTTACAACCCTTCTGGAGCTGCTAATGCAGAACTGCTGCAGGATGTATGGCTGATGAGAAAAGTCCTCAGATGGCTCCCACAACATGGTGGGACTGCATTAGTCAGTGTAAATAATAACCTGGACTGTGTTACATTTAATGCCAGTGAAGTCAGGAATGTTATTTTCGGTTAAAAAATAAAAGAAAATAAATTAAATTAAAATAAAATAAAATAAAATAAATCTACATTTGTTTTGACTCAGAGCAAAAGAGAAAATCAGCATTGCACGTGTTTTAAAATGGCTTACATAATCTCGCTAAGCAAATGAGTGTAATGCCAAAAAAAAGAGAGAAAAAACAGCTGAAGTTAAACTAAATGGTCATGATTAAGTGAATAAATGAATGCTATCCATTGTTGATTTATTGTATTACACCACTGTAGCACTGATCTCCAGATGAATTTATCCTTATTAGAATCAAAGTTTACATTAGCAGGGTCCACCATTATAACAATTAAAAAGTAATCCCATTGGAATATTTGGTCAAACATATTTAAAAGCTTATTTGATTATTATCAGCTGGGCTGCAAAACACAAATTCACCCTCAAAATAAACCTAAACTGTCTGAAACAGTTCAACTCAGTCAAGAACTGATTAATCACGTTACAGTGACACGAATGATGCCACAAATTGTATTTATTTTAACTATAAGCCAAGTTATTCTGGTTCACTGCCTGGCCACGGCTGTGAGAAGTAGGGGTGTGGAGGGTGCTGCAGCAACCCCTGACAGATGCCAGAAGACATGTGCCCAAATACACAAAAAAATTAACTAATGTATTTTCCAGACGTCGTTGCATTGGTCAAAAAATTCATCATAAAGAGTTGCACTGGACTATAAATAGCATTTATTTAAGAAACAATTTCACAAGTCTAAGACCAGGGATGCTGAATGACCTCAATAGACCATTTCATTGTAAAAAAATGTTACAAATGCACACGTGCAAAGCAGACGGGGCTTGCGTGTTTTTCAGAAAAACGTTGAGGTTGTTATTGAAACACTGTTGGAATCCGGAGAAATTCAAGCAGTAAATTTACGTCGTATTGCAGACCCAGTGTTTTTGCTCTTAACTGATTTGTGTCAAAAAATTCTAGTAGGATCATAGATGAGATTTTTAAAAATAAATATATAAGCTATTAAATTGCTATTTGAGAGTGTTGAATTAGAAAACAAGGCTAAGTTCATCAATCTCATTCCACATCGTGCGATTCGCTTTCTTCATTTTCTTCATTGGAGTAAGAATAACCTCTGCTTTTCACCAGTCCTGCATAAGTTTTTCATTCACTCCAAACTTTCTTTCTGCTGCTGGATTACCATTTTGGTTTGCATTCTTTTTTTTAACAAATAGGTTGTCACAAACCTAAGCATCCTCTCATGGCTGCAGATGATAATGTTTACTCCTTGGTTCATGTCAGTCAGTATGAACTAACATTTAACACATCAGTCAAAAAATGCATCATGAATCATCAATTGCACCTCATTATAAGTTACAGGACTATGTAAGAAAATGCAAATTATATTGTGGAAAAAATGGTAGTGAAAAAATAAAAAGATTTCATTTTATTCATATGTTCAAACTAAATAAATATTTTAAAATAATTGAGTTTACTAAATCTGGTACACACACACACACATATGTGTGTGTGTATGTATGTATATATATCT